AAATAGGAGGGAAGGGATAGACTTATCCCCTATAAGGCAGACCCTAATGAAGTAAAACAGATGAGGGAAAAAAATTCAATCCTATATCATGACCACTGTGAAATATTATCATGTTTTGATGTGCTGCTTTTACAACAAACAACATACACTCTCACACATACACACGCACTCATACAAGTTAATATGCCCATATGACGATTCGACATCAGTCGTTACGAATATGTGATGACTGTTTACACTTTTCTATTGGTACAAATGTCTACCGACAAGTGACCTTCAAAGGAACTGATTTCAATTTAAGTAATTTTTGACTATATATTGCGATGGTTATCAAAATCCGAGCAGGTCGGGTGTAAGGACAAATACTCGCCGAAGACATTGGCTAGTGGTCGCGCTATGTCATGAATAGGCAAAAGTTAGAATTCATGGGCCACTGGATCAGGTCGCAGTGGCTTGATGGTCTATGAGCTCACTTTATTGTAACCAGAATGTCTTGGGTTCGAACCCTGGTGAATGCGTGCTGATGAAGAGTCCCAAACTAGGACGAAACAGCTGGCTGTCCAGTACTCCCAGGTTTTCCAACCAGTGACAGCTCATGATGAGATCCTGTAACCAGTCAAATCCGTACAAACCAACACTTGAAAATCCGAATAATTCTGCTGCTGAACAAGCTGTGGCGGCTTACACAGTGAAACATTCAGAAAATAGATCTTAATAATAATAATAATAATTTTTGCTTTATTCCAAAAACAGTATTAATGATACAGCAAGGAATTTTCAGCATTCAGTACAGTATTGCATCTAATTTACTCAAAAACGACAACAACAAACAAAAAAAAGTAGATAAACGGAATAATTAATACATAATAATGATAACAAAACGTTTTTATAGGAGCTATGTAGCAATTACAGTAGAGGATAAGGAGAAAAATATAAAATTATAGTAATAATAGTAATAACAACTAAAATAAAAATAGCAAAGTTATAATTAAACGATAGAAAGGGTGACACCATAGAATTACAGAAAGATGAACAATGAAACGGTCGATTCACTATGCTAATTACATAGTAACTTATATGTTTCACGTCTAACAGTGTCTTCATCACATAAAATACGGGCTAAGTACGGTATTGTAGAATTTTTGTACTTAGTGGTACGAGCATATAATTTCTTATATTGACTTCTCGTTCTACCTGATGAGATACAAGGGGATAATTGTGAATAAAGAGGGTGCAGAGGGTCTGACAGTACGGCCTTTGCCCAATTTTTACAGGAATTTACGTGTCTCTCGACTATGGTATTGGCGAGATCACGCAGTGGCAAACCACAAGCCCTACTCACAGCATTTAATACCCTTCGTAATACGGCATAGTCTTTTTTAAGAAGCCCAGGAAAGATTAATGGAGAACAATAAAGTAAAATGGGTAAAATACAGGAGTTTAAAAATCGCAGAACTAAAGGTTGGCTGATACCTTGTTGTCTTAACTTTTTAATGTGGAAGGTAAGACGAAACATTTTCTTAGAGACCAATAAAATGTGAGATGACCATGAAAGGTCCGAGGAAACAACTAATCCAAGGTATTTAATGCTTGATTTGGTTTCAATTTCTGTACCATCTATGCTACAGGCATCATGGGAACTAACTAGTTCATGTATGTCACGTCGATGGTTGAAGGTAAAGTTAACTGCCTGACATTTGGAAGGATTTAACATAAGACCATTTGACTTAGACCACATGCTGATGTCCAACAAAAAGCTATTAAGTTTGGAGCAGTCAGACTCAGAAGTGATAGGCAGTGATACAGTCAGATCATCAGCATATTTGACAAAATTGGTTTCGTTTAAATGTGGCAGGTCTATGTTACCCTCTCACTGATCTGTTTAACAAGTCTTTTTCCAGTAATATTGTGCCTGCTGTTTGGAAAGACATTAAAGTTGTACCCATACCTAAATCGTCTACTGGAGCATGTGTCAAATTTAGACCCATTGCTATTACCTCTCCTTTTTTGAAAACCATGGAGAAACTACTTTTACTTAGTCTTGCACCCTCTCTTAAATCCTTTAATGACCCAAAACAGTTTGCTTATAAGCACAGTAGAAGCACTTTAGATGCAGCTGCCGTCTTATATCATAACATTGCTTCCAGTCTAGACAAAGGGGCCAAATTTGTCCGTTGTGCCTTCCTAGACTATACATCTGCTTTTGACTCGGTCCCTAGGGACATCTTGTTAAATAAACTTGCTGTAAGTCAAACAGAATGTTGGGCTGTTAACTGGTTACACTCTTATTTCTCAGAAAGAAAGCAGTACACCGTGTATAAAGGGAAGTCTTCCACTTCATTACCTACTGAAGCTGGTGTCCCTCAAGGCGCTGTCCTTTCTCCTTTTCTTTTTTCTTTCTTCTTACATGACTTGCCACAGTCCGATGAAATAAATTTTGTGAAGTACACTGATGATTTAACTGTTTCAATGGCTGTTAACTCCCAGCTAGATTGTACCAAAATAAATAGCTTTCTGTTGGAAGTCAGTAAATGGTCTGAGTCTAACGGTCTTAAACTGAATCCTTCTAAATGTCAAACTGTTAATTTCAGCTTAAGGTGTAAACGGCAGTTAAAAGAAGCCGTCGATTCTTATGACAGTTGTAAGATTGATGACAATGATATAGGAATTAAATCAGAAATTAAGTATCTTGGACTTATTCTCTCTTCTGATCTCTCCTGGTCTTCCCATGTCTCAGCGATCTCCAGCAAAATATTCCGCCTGACATTTTACAGTAAGAAGTTAAGGCACTGGGGTATAACTCAACCCCTCCTCTTACAGTTTATAAACTCTTGCATCCTACCTATTCTTCTTTATTGTTCACCCTTATTCTTTCCTGGTTTGCTTAAAAGGGACTTTGTCACAATTCATAGAATGCTGAAGACTGTCAGTAGAGTGAGTGGTGTCCCAGTGGACTACATAGTTAACGTCGTTGTCGATAGGCATTTGACTTCGTGCAGTATATTTGCCAAAGGGATTTTGTCTGACTTGGAGCATCCACCACAGCACCCTCAGCTTTCACCTTGCATATCCTCAGGTAGAACAAGAAGTAACTTCAGAAAACTGTATGCTCGCACGTCTAAGTATAAAAACTCTATGATACCATACTTGGCACGTATTTTATATGATGAAAATAGCGTCAGGCAAGAATTGACTAACCTTTTTTCATCTAGTAAATAAACAATCTTCTCCATCCATCCTTATATACCTTCAGGTTTTACTTTTATTATTTCTATTATATTTATGGTCCTGTTGCTTCTTGTTCTCACTTTCATAACTGCAAACACCAACTTATCTCTATGACTGCTGTAATTTTTGTTTTTCCCCTCACCATATCATGTAAAGAGAACATCATATTCAATATTTTTAATCATGCAAGGATTCGTATACCGCATCGACAATACTGTGTGAAACAAGCCCATGGCAATTTCCACTTGTATTATTATCATTACCTAAGCTGCTATCATTATTATTATTTCCATTTTATATGCTGCATGCTTGTTTAATTTTTTATTTATTTATTTTTATATTAACCGTATTGTAAATGTACAAAAATTTTTCTTTGTGATTAATTTTATTTATAATTTGAGGAAATTAGATGCAATATTGTGATTAATGCTGAAAATTCCATTCTGTATCACAAGTACTGTTTTTGGAATAAAGTAAATTATTATTATTATTATTATTAAGAAGAAAGAAAAAAGAAAGGGAGAGAGGACGGCACCTTGAGGAACACCGGCTTTTGTAAGCAAAGCAGAAGAAGATTTGCCATTATATGCAGTATACTGCATTCTATCAGAAAAATAAGAATGCAACCAACTCTTAGCCCAGGATGCTGTGTGCGTCAAGGAGAGCTTATTTAATAAAAGGCCCCTAGGTACAGAGTCAAACGCAGATGTGTAGTCTAGGAAAGCACCACGGACATATTTGGCACCTTTGTCTAAACAAGAAACAACATTATGATATAAGACAACCGCAGCATCCAAGGTACTTCTACCATGTTTATATGCAAATTGCTTAGGGTCATTAAAAGCTTTCAATGAAGGTTCAAGACGAAGTAAAAGTAGTTTTTCCATCAATTTTAAAAAAGGAGAAGTAATTGCAATAGGCCTAAATTTACTATCGGTACCAGAAGATTGTTTTGGTATAGGGACAATTTTAATGTTTTTCCATGCAGAAGGTAGAACATTACTGGAAAAGGAAGCATTAAAAATATTAGTAAGAGGGTAACACAAAATATCAACATAGTTGCTGAGGACAATGGCAGGTACGCCATCAGGACCAAGGCTTTGGGAAGGCTTAAGAGAACGGAGACATTTAAGCACATCAAGGGTATTAAAACCATTAAAATTATTGTCTATGTGATTTGTATCATTAGGAAGGATATCGTCAGAGGAGCGTATGAAAGACTTATTAAGATTATTAACATTAAGAGATTGTACAGAATTACACCGCTTACCGCTAGTTATTTCTTTAAAAAGTTTCCATAAACTAGAAGGGGTTTTACATGACAAAAATCTTTGGTTGTATAAAACATTTAGTCTGTGCATTTCGAGTTTTATCAGAGGATTTGGATTTTTTTGGATTTTTTTTTAAACACGCTGGGATTATTTTAAATAATTTTTGATAAAAAACAAAAAGGATCACCATATAAGAAGGTGAATAAATTGACTGTAAACATCATAAGTGCATCGATGGCACAGCGGTAGGTTGCTCGCCAGCCATTCAGGTGGTCCGGGATTCGACCCGTGCGCGGGCCCCTTCCTTTACCTGTATAAGCCAGTAATAGGACTTGTAAAGAAGGAAGCTTGGGAATGAGGCTGGCTAGCAACGTTATCCAGTAAAAATAAACATCACTGCTACAGAAACTTCAAGCCTCTAACTTGATGCCCTATCTTTCACTGGGAACGTAAAGGAATAAAAACAAAAACATCGTAAAGATTCCACCGATTTCTACTTACTTTTTCATAACCAGAAATCGTACAGGTGTTTCTGATACTTTACTGCGTACAATTTTATTCATTTTATATACATAACTTAAATTGACCACTTCATCAAGTATTAACGAGTCTTGACGTAATGGATAAAATAGCGGTTCTGGTGCATTCGATTCACTTGATGGACTTATATCTGGATTCGATGGACAACGTTTATTCTCTGCTAATGATTTACCCATTCTGTCAGAATTGACTTCCATTTCATTACTAAATGACATTGAACGCTGAAAATTATCGTGTTAAAAAAGAAAGAAAGAAGAAACACAAAAATATGATGTTTTTAATCAATCAGTTAGGTAATAATATGAAATAATGTCAACCTTAATGTTCTACATTAGGAAGTTAAGACAGTCTGGTCTCCCTCATTATAATAAAGGTTTTTGTATTTCTCAATGAATGAAAGACGAAACGATATTGCTGTTTTTACTGACGTTTCGCTATTTAATGGTGACAATAGCTTTATCAAAGTAGTATTATTAAACCAGAATTTACAAAATCCACTCAGCTTATATATAACAACTTAATCCTCCATGGTTCCTCAGTATGGGGTCATTTTTCCGTTGTCAAATTGACCAATCTCATAAAGATAACAAAACCAAATGCAGATTGTTGGATTTGATAAGTGTGCAAAATTATAACAGCAGCGTGTGTTTACAAAGTGAAATTGCTTATCACATTCGTGTTGATTTTTGTCACTTCATGGGGAGGCGAGTATTGTAAACCAGGTCAAATTCTGTTTTAGTCCATCATTCCTATTCTGATAATTTGGATTCCGCTTGATATGAAGTACTTCTGATATTAGACGTTCTTTTTGATTTCTGAAATTTTTCCAGATGATGATTTCAGTATGGTCAAAATCAATTTTGTGGGCTGATTCCATAGCGTGTAGACAAACTATGGCTGATGATTTTTCAAGCTTTTCTAGTTCAACTGGATTTCCCGGTTGTCGAACCTATGCTCTATGGGGTTCATTTCTTCTGATTTTGATTTCTCTCTGGCGATATTTGTCCAATATATATGACATCACATTCCAAGCACTTTATTTTATAGGCATAATTAGATAGAGAATCTTCAGGGATTTGATCATTTATATGGACAAAATTGTTTCACAGTGTGCGTGTCTGATGTTTTGAAGAAAACTTTGATGTCGAGCTTATTGAGTACTCTTCTGATATCGTACGAGGTCTACCGTCTATATGGAATGACAGCTGTTGAGGTCCATGTCTTTGGAATATGTTTTTGACCATACTTAATGTCAGTGTTGATTTTGTTGTTGTTTTTCTTGAGCATTTCAGTAATGTTTGATATTTCTTCTTCTTTTTCTCTTTCTTTCTCATCCGTTATCAGAGAGTGTGCCCGTCTAAGAAGACTTGAAACAACCGGTATCTATGCGCTGAAGGGGTGTGATGATCCGAAGTTTATATATTTGTTGTTGGAGTGAGTTTTCTTCCTGGATATGGATATACTAAAATGTCAGTTTTCCCTCCTCTTAACTAGGCAGTCTAGAATTGGTAGTTAACCGACGTCTGATTCTGCCTGATTTCGAGGTAAACTGGGTTCTTGGAGATAAACTGTTTATTTTCTCCAAGATCTCATTTTAGCACTACAAAAATACCATCTACATACCTTAACCATATTTAGTTTGTGATTCTAGGTATTGTCAATAAAAGAACTTCAAGTTAACTACAGGAGTTCGCACTGGGCATTGACGTACCAAGAAATACCCAAAACCATCACTATGAACTAAGTATATATGATACTGCTTTTGTCACGGCGACCAGTCAGTGGAAACAGTCGGGAGCCGGAATAACTTAGTAGTAACATCTTTGACTGCCTCATCGAGTGATTCAAGTTTGCATCTCTAAGACGGCGTTGATGTTACCGATACGCCTTGTTTACGAGTGCTAATCGGCATAGGACCTAGGTCTAGGTGTTTCTGTTCATTATTGTCAACTATCTAATAGGTAAAGAGAAACTCATCTAGTTTACTAGCTCAACAGTTTTATAGCCAGTCCCATGCCCGAGGAAAGAGGAAAGGTTGAACGTGGGGCTTGTGACCCTGCACTACAGAATCAATCGAATGGTTGCAAAAACTTCAAAGCACAAGAAAAATATAAGGAAAAAACTTGTTCTTCACTGGAGTCAAAGAGGCGTATTGTTGTGAACTGGTGAACGCCTTCAGGAAGCCAGTCAAACAATGTCTTCTACTGATGAAAGCAAAAATAAGAACTGTGACATACAATGTTTACATAGTGTACGAAGCTGGGAAGGCTGCCCAGATTGCCAAAGAAATGAGGAGATATGGTATAGAAATCCTGGCAATCTGTGAGAACAGGTGAAATGAGCATGAACTATCGAAATTGTCAACTGGTGAGTCAGTAATCTACTCCATTCACCCAGACGACAACCATGAACACACTGAAGGAGTGGCATTCACTATTTCACCAACAGCAGTTAAAGGTCACAGTTATCCAATGCTACGAGCCTACAAACAACTTAGAACAATTGCCAAAACCTTGCAGGCGCAGAAGTCCGCGAAGGGTTCTCTTATTCATTTCGTCTAGAGACTCTCGATCCCAGTTAGGTATTCATTTCTTCTCTTGGAGGCAGTGTGTACACGCAGAAGGATGTAAAACTGGCGACGTGGATGTCATGTGATACACATACCAAATACCAGATAGATTTTCTCTCAATTTGAAGGAAGTGAAGATGCAGCCTGCTAGACACAAAGTCTAGAAGGGGAGCAGATGTGGGCTCAGACCATCATCTAGTTTATGGAACCTTCGAGGTGAAGCTGCGAGGCTTCAAAGCAATTAGAGACAGGCCACTGTAATTCAGGTTCAACATTCAGAAACTGAAAGATAAAACTACAAAGGATGCTTTCACTGAAGATATCAGAGCAAAGTCAGAGTCATTACGTGGCATCATTGAGGAAAGCTGTGTGGAAGAACATTGGAACTCTTTGAAGGCGATATTCAAGGAAACATGTAGAACCGTCTTAAGAAGAAAGAAGGGACAAGACAGGGAATGGCTCTCAACGAGCATCTACCCGGAAGCTAATAGAAACAATGAGAGAAGGATGGTGAAAGAGAAAATGACTCAATGTAAAGATGGGCAACAGAAAGAGAAGCTGAGTTCAATGTTCACTGTACTGAATAAAGAAGTGGAGAAGAGTGTTGGGAAAGGCAAAAGACAATTCCATGACACATACTGGCTAGTAACCGAAGCAGAACGTGCATGCCTCTGGTAGAAGAGATCCTAGGATATTATATGAGATAACCAGGTCTCTATCCGAGAAGAGATCAACCCAGACGATAAAACCAATAAAAAGTGCTCAAGGGAACCTGATTATCCAGGAAGAGAAACAAACAAGACAGTGGGCTGATCACTTCAAAGGACTCTTGAATCGACCATCACCTGCAACCCTACCAGAAATATCACTGTCACCAACAGCATGCACAGAAATACCTGTCAGTGGACACTAATCCTCCAACAAGGGCAGAAGGCTTCATTGCAATCAAGGAACTGAACGTCCGGCTGGAAAGGCTGCAGCACCAACGGAATTCCCCCACACCGGAGCACTGAAAACTGACACACAGACTACAACACATATTCTGGCGCCATTATTGCTTAGATTTGAGAGGAAGGAGAGGTGCCTACCAATTGAAAGAAAGGCTAGCTGCCTCGTCAAACTACCAAGGAAAGCCGACATAGGCCTCTGCAAGAAATGCAGTGGAAAAATGCTCTTCTCCACGTCAAGTAAAATACTAAGTCGCATCATTATGGAAAGAATAAAAGATGCACTGGATACAGAACTCCACCTCACCGAACACAACAAGATGGATTCAGGAAAGGCAAATCATGTGCTGATCAAATTGCATCTCTACCCACTGCCATCATCATCGAACAAATCATAGAATAGCAGTCAAACGTCCACCTCAGTTTCATCAACTTCAAGAAGGCCTTTGATAGTGTTGATCAAGAGGTAATTCGGAAGCTACATCAACACTATGGAGTGCAGTGCCATAGTCTTTATGAACCTCATTCAACAATTGACTATGTGACATTGTCACATGTCAGGTGATCCACTACGGAGAACTCGGTGAAGTGTTCGAAGTGAATAGAAGAGTAAGACAAGGCTGGCTGTCTATTATCGCCGATGATATTCCTGAATGTGATGAACTGGATTATGTGTCAGACTATGCGTTGGGAGTGAGTAGAGAAGAGTACATTGGACGACTGATAAGAAGACTCTAGAAGATCTGGATTTCGCGCGTGGATGAAATATGTCTAATGTCACACAATTTCGAGGACTTGCAAGCGGAAACCAACAAACTGGCTGAAGAGGCCGGCAGCGAACACAAGACTGGAGGTGAGCACATAGAAGACGGAGGTGATGAAGGTAACCAACCACCGTCAACAGCAACAACAACCAGCACAAATCACCATCCCCCCTAGAGATTTAACAGAGTCGGCCTACTTCACTTATCTGGGGAGCATCGTTCCAACTACAGGCACACAGAACGGAAGAAGATGTCATAGCCAGTCAGAATCGGAAAGGCAAGGTACGCCTTCATCAACCTAAAACCAGTTTGGAAATTTTCTGCACTCAACCTAAACATAAGGAACAAGATTCGGATTTTCAACACCAATGTCAAGTCAGTCACTGCTTTAATATGAGTCAGAAACCTTCACTGCGTGTCACGAAAAGGATTCCCAACAGGCTACTGCAAACTTTCATCAACAGCTGCCCCAGAAAGAGTAAGCGAAAAGGAACTCTGCAGTGGAACAAACCAACAGGCGAGAGCCGATCGCTCAACAAACATGTATGAGAAAGTGGAGATGGATGGGTCGGGCATACATTGAGGAGGCCGCCGAATGACATGGTGCTCAATGCAGGCCATCGCTCGAGTGGAATCCAGTTGGGAAACGACGAGTGGGTCGCCGATGTGAGGGTGACATGGAGGATATCGTTTGGGGAGGAAGAGATGGGACAGTTTGATCAGTCGTGGACCTATCTGAAGGGGATAACAGAGAATAGAACAAAGTGGAGATGTGTTGTTGAAGCCATCCCTATGTTCCACTCGGAACTCAAGGGAATAATAATAATGCTTCTATTGACGTTGCACATAAAGTCTTGAAATCCTATCTCATGAAAACTCTGTGTTGAATTGATATTCACATCTTATTGAGAGAAAAATATAATTACATGTTTTTGTTGAAA